TGAAATAACTAAATAAAGTCGGATTTTTTTTATATTTTACAAAATTATTACTGAAATTTGCATAGTTAATTAATTTTAGGTGATGTTTGTATTGATAGATTTGAATCTTAAATTTAAAATCTCACATTTAAATTAATTCCATCATATATCTAATTTTTTTTTGTTTTGATAATGTAAAAACATGAAGGAAGAAGAGACACGGGTAGATGCTCAAAACACAGGTTGATATTCAAAAAGAAAAAAGAAAAGAAAAGGAAAGAAAGATTGACAATAATAAATTCATTTCTATTCTTCAACCATCAAGAAATAAAAATAAGATGCGAGAGAAGAAGCAAGAGTGACCAATCACAAACAATGAAAATGTCAGCAGAACGAGAAAGATTTGGTGATTTAAATTTCTAACCACTGATGTGATAAGAATTACTATCACGCATGTGAATGTGAGTTGATTATAATCAATTGTTATTTATTGATATATTCCATTTATTAGTATATTTTTTAATGAATGAATCATTATATTTTTATTAAATTAAAAAAATATTTTATTAATTTACTTAAAAAATTATTTTTTATTTATAATAATTAGAAAAAATTAAAATTTGCTATATTTTTAATAAGATAATTAACTTTATTGGTTTGTGTAATTGATTTAAAACATTTTTTTATATGGGATGAAAGGAGTAATTTTTTTTACGCACAGATGCCTAGTCTTAATAACAATATCTTATTTCAAAAAAATTTCGATGGATTAAATTTTATGGTCATATTCTGATTGTACATAAAATTTAAAAATTTTAAGATAAATTGCACGACAAATATCGGGTCTGTATCGAGGAAGGTCAATAATTAAGCGCTAGTGGCTGGACACTTGGAAAAGTCAGGACTAGCCCAGCCCAATGAGTTTTCTGGGCTCACTATACAAGACTTAGTCCACAACATATCAGACAATATATGCACGGTTTTGTTGGGCCTCAATAATAGGCCCGATTACTGTACGGAGTTCCACAATAACAGTCATGAACCTGAGTCAGTTAAATGGCCATACCTTAGTTAAGTTTGGTAGACTATGAAATTGGGCTCCACTTTTGGGTCCTTGTAATGGTCCGGCCCATTTCAAAGTGCGTCATTCATATTTATATTTATAAATAACAATGCACTTTTGATAATGAACATTACGTTAGGCGCAGCTACAGCAATTCTAATTATCCAAAATCTGAGTCATGACCTAACATAGGCTAAGAAAATAATCTAAAGGAGCCTTCCAAGCTTGAAAATTTTCAAAGATGTTTTCGGTAAAAAGAGAGACGATACATCGATGCCTTTAAATTTTATTAATATATGTTGCTTAAAATTTAAAAAAAATACTATAATTATATGAATAACAAATACAAAATACAAACGAGAAATGAAGGCATGCCAAACTAATAATCTAGGGAGAGTTATTCCTAAATCCTTCACAATGCATGATTAAATGTTACAAAGTCTATTAAGAACAGATTACAAATCTATACCCATATACCTGTGTTCAACTTATTTTGACATGATCTGGATGGAAATGGGCTAACTGGGATGCAGTGACCCACCTAGAAAATTGCATGGTGGAGGCAAATTTTTGCTCAAGATAAATATGATTTTTTTTAAAATATCATTTTAATATTTATTAAATTACATTCAAATTAAAAATTTGTTAAAAGTAATTGCTAAAGAATAAGGCATATTACATATATAATTTAATGATGTATTGAATAAATCAGTCCGAATATAATAACATTTTATAGTTATTGAAGTTATTTTTTATTGAATAAAATTTATCTGGATGGAAATGGGCTAACTGGGACGCAGCATGGTGGGGACAAATTTTTGTCAAGATAAATATGATTTTTTTTAAAATATCATTTTAAATATTTATTAAATTACATTCAAATTAAAAATTTGTTAAAGTTAATTGCTAAAGAATAAGGCATATTACATAAAGTTATAATGATGTATTGAATAAATCAGTCCGAATATAAATAACATTTTATAGTTATTGAAGTTATTTTTTATTGAATAAAATTTGTTTATCTTTAGTAGATAATTTTTTGTAGTAAAGTTTTTATTTAAAACATAGACAAATTTATTTTTTTAATTATTGTTCTCTCCATTCTAAAACTATCATTATTTGAGATTACAACATATAGATTAGGTTTGAGTTAAATATATTGTTAGGGAGATGAGTGAAAATTTCTTTCTGAAAGGGGGCAATTGAAATTTTTGAAGGAGGTATTGAAATTTTTCTAGGTCATTTTGTATAATTTTTTTTTTAGCCTTGTAAGGGCAATTGCCCTCATGACCCAATGAGTAGATACGTCCTCTTGGGACGAGTTCTTTATGAACAATCATAAGTCTGACATTGCTCTATATTTATGTCATGTTTGGTTATTAAAAAAAATAAATTAAAAAAATCGACACAAAAATGAATTAAATCATTATTTCTTTTGATGGTAAGCATGATAAATATATCAAGTGTAAAAATTAGGATATTCTTTAAAAATTTTATGAATTATCATTCTTACCTCATTAATTAAATTACGTTTTTCCTTTATGAATTTGGTTCAATATTTTTTTAATTATTTTATTTTGACCTTTATCTTTTCAATTCATTTATTAGAATCAAACAGGACCTTAAGCTTTTACTGCCCAGAAGCATATTCTATTGGGTAATCATGGATAATAACACAAAATCCCAACATATTATAATATACATAACCTAATTTTTTATGACTTTACTTTTATATAATATATATATATATTATCGTGCGTACAAGCCTGCCATGATTAAACTGAATTTTAATGGATTTTTTTTAGGATCCGATATTTCAATTTCATATAATGACAATTGATAAATACATTTTTGTAGTTTTTATACCAAAACAAACGCTAGCTTGTTTCAACTAGAAGACTTTAATCAAAAGTTTGAAGTATAAATTAGAATGTAATCTAATTAAATGAAGATATCCAGTAATGAAATAAAGAATATTGTTAATGATTAGCTATTTAATTACAAAGTCATCTTTTTTATTTGAAAGAGGTCCTAAGTTTAAGTCCGGTGTTGATTTACTAACATGGGTTTGTAGATGTGTGGATATTCTTTCATATATCAAATGACTACATTATGAATAAATTTTCAAAAAAATAAGAAAAAATTAATTATTAATCATATAGTTTTAATTCAATTATAACTCAATTCTTATAATTTTAAATTAGTTATAACTTAGTCAATAAACTTTAAATTGACACAGCTCAAAATGAAAAAAGATTAATTTTTAAATTATAATTAAGTCAAAACTACAATAACTAAATGATTAATTTTTTTAAAAAATAAAAATAATATTTTTTATTGCATGCAAATGTCCTTTTGTTGACACAATCCTATTTCACCATGATTAATTATTAAATATAGGCATATCTTCTACTAGGAATTCAAACTTAAACATTATAAGTTTTCAATCCAAACTCAAATGTTGGTTGGTTGACCCTCATAAAATATAATTTCTTTTATTGGTTTTTAAGATGGATCAGAGACTTTTTTTTTTTTTAATTAAAGACCTAAGGCCCCGTTGATTTTCACTTTTACTATTTAAAAAGTTTCTTTAAGATGTGATTTGAGTACATGTATTGTTTTTAAGGACTTTAAAAGTGATTTTGTCAAATATAAATATTAATCTTTTAAGTTTTTCTTTTTTTTTTTCCCTGCTGTGGCTTACTTTTGCTTTTTATATTTTGGAAGTGAGTGGATTAACCAAGGGAAAGATATTTTTAACTACCACATTTTCCCCATGCTATCTTGGTTGCACTTTTTTCTCCCCCCTCTTCCATTGGATCATAGTGTACATGCATTATTTATATTTTATATTTTCATTATATTTATATTAACTCTAATATTTATGTCAGACATCAAGTTGAGCATCATAAATTAAATAATTAATCATGTTAATATTTAATATTAATTTATATTGAACTATTTATATAATTTTTTTCTAACATATGACAATTTATATTCTTTATTTTTATTATTTAATGTATCAAATTTTATGTAATCATTATTTCCAAGTTTAATATATTATTCTTTTGTTTAAAAAGCACTTTAGTTCGTTAAAAAAATCATATTTAAATAATAAATCATTAGAGATCAAGTTTTTAACATTATTTAAGTTTGGATGTCTATCCTGATTTGGTAAGTTTTTAAACTTAACTTGTCTAATTTTTTTGAATAAAAAATCATACATATTTTTTAAATCATATTAATTTTAATATTAATACATGTTATGCTATTTACTATATAATTTTTTTCAACACATCAAACCTTACATTTTTTTATTGTTTATTATTTTAATTGTACATTTAAAAGTATATTTTAATATATATATATTAAATAAATTTTAATTTACAAAATGTTTTTTAAAAAATATATTTAAATATATATTTTATTATAACAATGAACTTTTTATTTTGGATTAACAATCAATTTATTTTTATCGGATGATTTTTTACAAATTAACTATTTTAAATTAACGCATTTGGCTCCAGATGTAAAGGAGGCTTTCGCCGTCAAAGTTTGCGGCCACAATCTCCTGAAAGAGCCCCAAATGTACAGTACCTTTTATAATATTGACCCGCCATATCTTTATTGAGAAGATCACATCGGTCTCCTTTTTAACAAAATTTTATCACATATAAAAAATAATAATAAATTTTATTTAGAAAAAAAATAAATAATATTTTTATTTTAATAATAATTTATTATATATTAATCTTTATTGTGATAATTTTTGTTGGGAGGAGTTTGATGTAAATTCTCTACTTTTCTTTGTCTGATTATATAAATTATATATATATATCATGACATTTCTCCGTATAGGAACCACAGAATTATTTTTTTATTATTATTCTCCTAATAAAAGTACCTTTTCATTTCCGTTTTTCTGTTTCTTCTTCTTCGTATTGGTATCGCAGAATTATTCTTTGGCATCCCTCTTCCCTTTCTCGATCCCTTCCTTTTTACTTCCTGGCCCTTCTTCATATAATCTTATTGTGAAGGGTTCAGCAGCACATAGATCCGGTAGCTTCCGCCAATTCCCCCCAACCTTTTGGATCTGTTACTATGACTTCAGTTGTGAAGATCGAAGGCCAACAGCTCCCCGTCAACGATTTTCAGGATTTGTCCCTCAAAGATAAGGTATTTGTGTTTTCTTCCTTGTTTTCTAATCTCGTTTTTGAATATTTATTCGTTTTCGGATGTTTAAAAGTGGCGAAATTTGGCGGTGGTAGGGTTTCATGGATTCTGGTTCTCGTCGTTATGACTTGTTCATTCGTTGACGAATTTTTGCGTAGTGGATGATTCTAGGGTTAATTGTTTCTGAGCGGTGATAGATATTGTGTTGCGATAAGGATTGCTAGAGTTGCTGCGCCTGATATTGTTTTTTAGATTTATGCCTGACTTCTCTGATCTTCAGAGTGAAATGCGATGCGAAGCAGAGATCCTCCAGGTGGGATCTGAGAACCATGGGGGAATCTGTGCGATTTGCTTGGATAAGATAGTACTGCAGGAAACTGCGCTCGTTAAAGGTTGCGAGCATGCTTACTGGTTGTCTGAACAATCTCTCACTATTTCAAAATAATTTCTGGACATTTGCTGCATAGATTAAATCTGGTTTATCTGCCAATTGGAATTGCAATTGGAATTAATCATGTGCTCACAGACATCCCCTGGGGTTCAGTTGTGGATGGAAGGAGGGGATGAGGTTATGGATTAGGGTTCTGGGAGGAGGAAATTTAGCTAGGGTTATATGGGACTCTTAACTCATGAACACACGCTGATGAAACACAACTAAAAATTACGGTCCTCTCATAGGATTTTCTTTATCCCAAGAAGCTTTACTGTTGGGTTGCATCCGACTAGCATTGATATAAAGTTTCATGAATGTTATGTGCCGTTAACGGTGTCTTATTTGTTTTATAAGATCTTATAATTAATAATATGATCTTCAGATGTATTCTGTAAAATCTTATTTTGTCCTATGTGGGATTATAGAGCAATGGTCTGCAATCTGGCTGGCTTGGACTTTAACGGGCATTGAGTTTAGGAACAGATTTTAGGTGTGCTTATGGCGGTTTTGACACTATTTTAGGTTCTGAAGGATGGTTGAGACAGCTGTTTCATATAATTTTAAGTATCTACTATTTGTGCTGACTCACAAGCTGTTGTCATCCATGGATTTACGATTTAATTTCATTTGCCATGATTTTTGTCATTTGCATGAGAGAATGTTCTGTGTATTGTTCGAAGTTGCTGGAAATGTTAAGGTGCCATGATGTCATTCTTCTCAAATTACTGGAATGTTGAAATTTGATAAGTTTGTTGCAGTTTGTATCACTCAATAATTAGGGCAATCTTCCTGAACATGGATTAGAGGTCAGATTTAACCTAGGTGGTTAATAAATGTTTTATAATTAAGTTTTTGCTTATCTATCTGGATTCAAGGTTGGTTGGCATTTTAAATGTTGCGCACTATTTTCCACCTTTGTCTCCGGGACAAATATTTGCAAGAACTAAAATGATTGGTTTAAAACACATGACATTTTACTGGCTTGCGTTCATGGCCTCCACTCTATAATATAGATTAGGCTTTGCTTAATTATTTTACTAGAGTACTTACTTTGTTTCTACCTCCTGTGATCTTTGTTATGAATGTTTGTTGCTATGATTGAAGCAGAACAATTTAGTTTACTGTGCAGCTACTGTAATCAAATTTGGATTCTTGTAGTTTAGATAGATGAATACTGATTTTTTATTATTATTGGCATTTCATTTTTTTTTTTGCGACCCCACCTAGTGGGATAAAGGCTTGTTGTTGTTGTTGTTGTTGTATTGGCATTTCATTTTTCTCCCCCCAATATTTGTCTTGGTGACTTGTCTGATAAGCTGTGACAGGTTATTATGTTCCTGCTTCTTATCTGAATGTTATTTGTTTTCCTGCAGTGTAACATGCATTCTTCAGTGGGCGACACATTGTCCGAGGGCCACTTGCCCGCAATGTAAACATCCATTTGAGTTTCTTAATGTCCATCGCTCCCTTGATGGCGGGTTAAAATAATAACCCTCAATTTGTTTCCTGTTCTCAACCCATGGATTTTAGTATGGATGGTTTTGGAAATAATCTGGCAAGTGTTGGTCTGAGTTGGAATTATTGTAGCCAACACAAGGGCCTTGCGTTTGTGTGTGGGTGCCTGTAGTAAAGAATTTGATAAGATGGATTAGAAACTTATGCTTGTCTTTTGTTTAAATACATGGGCTCATATTTCTTGTTGAATATTTTCTGTACAAAGAGTTGAAACATTACTTTGCTGTCTCACTTGGTATATACTAATATGTTAGAATCCTTAACTGTTTCGGACTAAAAGAGTAGTAGATATCAGTGTTTTCTCTGTAGAAATTCATCAATCACTCCAATCTTGTAATAGGAAATGGTTGTCATCCCTTGGAAGTGAATGATTTTTCTTGAGTGCGAAATTGTTGAAAAATGAAGTCCAAGTTTTTCCACCCTAGCATTTTTTGCAGCTTGAATTTCTGTGTTCTTACTGCTTGATTTGTGTTGAAACAGCCTTCATGACTACATGTTTGAGGAAAGTGTCTGCCTACTTCTCCGAGCTTCATGGTTTAAACCTTTAAATGTGGAAGATCGTGCTGAGCATGAAGACATATATATGTACGATGACATTGAGGATTATTTTGAATACGACGATGGGCAAGATGACTTAGATGAAGCTTATTATGGTGGCTCATCAAGCATCCGCATCGGCAACCGGAGATGGGGAGACAATGGCTATGTTAGGGCTGGTCGACAACAAGCTAGGCCAGTGTACCAACCACACTCCCAGAACTCGGGGGCAAGTTCATCCCGTGAGCCAAGGAACAAAGAGGTTGTCAAAGGTGCTACAACAACTGGACGGCGAGCAAAGCGAGCACTGAAACGGGAGGAGGCGGATAAGGCTGCTGCGGCGAAGCATCAGCAGCATCTAGTTAGGTTGGGAAGGAAGTGATTCTATTTATGTTGAATCAGACCAAACCTAGAAACGCTTCCCTCTCCCCATCTTAGTCTTTATATATTCATTTTAATTTTTTTGTACAGTGAATGTGGCTTTTAATCTGTAAAGCAATGTATCAGTTGGGGGAAAGATGTTTTAAGAATAATTGGGGTGCTAGGTGGTTGGTTGGTTTTAATGGTAGGACGGTGAACATGTTAGGTTTCTATTTAGCTGACTCGTTCTCTCAATGCAGTCCTTAGTTGTACATAATTCAAGTTGAACAAGGTAGGCTTCGTCTTAACTCGTTGTCCTATGTGTTGGTTCTTTCAATTATAAGTTGAAATTATGGAACGTGGAGAAGTGAAATTTGCCGCACATTTGATTTATGACATGTCTATAAATCAAAAGCTAAGTTTGGATGGATAGGTTGCTCTCATCGCACGAGTTATCATGTTATTAGAGTAACCTTAGGAATGTATAAATGATTGGATGGTGTTGGATTTTAGCTTAACTTGAAATTTGGTATTTTTCATGAAAAGGATTGAGTTAGGCATCCTTTTAGTTTAGTCTTGTCCAATAACAACTTAAAAATTAATACGACTGGACTTGATTTATAGATTGAGAGATTGGTTTTATTAGTTAGTAGTATCACTTATTTTTTTTCTCCTTTTTCTTCTATGAGAGACAATGATCATTAGTTTAATAAACTCAATTAAGAATAAAAACAACAAATAATAACAAGCCTTTATCTTATTAAGTGGGTGGGTTGACTATATGCATTGCAAGAAGTCATTGTATTTTATCATTTACCAAACTTTTAAAAATATATTAATTAAGAGATCGTGTTTAACAATTTTTAAGAGTGTTCTCTTAAGTCTTCCCCTACCCCTCTTAATAGGGCTCAATTATAAGATAAACAAAACACTTATAATAATAAATCCATTATAATTTCCAACAATAAAAGAAAAATCTTTCTATTAAGGCTAAATGATTTAAATTTATAATTTCAAAAAACTACATTATAACAATTTAGAAACAAACTCAATAAATCTTCATATAATCATCTTCTTAGCATTAATTATACTTGAAACATTTTTCAAATATAAATTAATTATAATTATATTAAATAAATTAATAGGATCGGACTGGATTAAGTGGTCCGGATGTCCCGTCTTTTGTCCAATTCAACTCGAAGAAATAGTTTAATCTTTTTAGTCTTTTTAATCTTGAAGGACCTAATTTATACAAACTAAACAAGACTAGACCATCTCGAATTAAATTGGGTTAGATAGGACTGAAGGACTTTTGCACAGCCCTAGCTTTTCATGGAGTTATCATGTCATGGTAGTAAGCAGCCTTCAGCTATTATATTTAATTGAAAATAAAATATAAAGTATTTTAGGGTTTTTATTGTGTATTAATATTTTTTCAAAAGGACAATTAATAAGTTATTTTAAATAGAGACACTCTATTAAAAAGAATGTGCAATTTTAAGAGAATTAACTGACTTATCAAGATTATGATTTAGTTAAAATGCCATGTAATACTTAAATGGAAAGAATATATGATAGGTTTTTATTCGATCTTTAAAAATATGTTAGATAAATTAAGGGGCATGTTTGATTTTGGTTCAATTTACTTTTGTTTTAAAAAATAATGAAAGAACTTGTTTTGATGAGTAATTTGGGGAAAATATTTTCAAAATTGTAAAGCAAAAATGAAAACATGTTAGAGCTATTTCGGGTTTATTTTAGTTTTCTAAAACATTTATTACAAAACATCATTTGAAACAAAAAAAAAAAAGGACCTAATTCTTTGTCTTGGTCCCCAAATTTTATTTAGTTATAGATTTCTTTTTTTACATAATCTAATATTGATTCTTGACTTATCATTTTCTTATTTGCTAAAAAAGCAAATAGGTTACTGAACTTTATGTTCACAAGTATATGATATATTAAATTCATTTTTAGTGTATTGTTTGAAATGATGATGCAATTTCACACTTACTAGTTACTATTAACAAAATTCTATTTTAAAAGTTAGTTGATTATAAAATGTCAAAAAATGACCAATAAAATTTTCTGTCATTTTTTTTTTTATTTTATGTAATATTTTTTATTTTTTTAACTAACGATTTAAAGTTAATTTTTAATAACAGTGAAGAGAGAGACTATACCGTTTTTAAAAATTAAAAAGAAATATTGTATTAAAAATAAGTTATGTCTTAGACCCCTACATTTCTAATTTATAATTATAAGCCAATTGCTTTGTTATACTTTTTTTTTTTTGTTTTGTTTTGATGAATTGCATTGAATTCTTTTATTATTATATTTCAATTCAATTGTATTATCAAGAAAAAATTTGAATAAAAAAATTAATATGATCAGAATACCTTTATTTGGATGGAAATATGATTAATATTAATTGAATTAATTTTAATATAATTCATTTAAATTTACATTAATTAAAACTAATATTTTATTATTAATTAAAGTTATTTAATCCCAAAGGAAAAAAGTGATCAAATATATATTGGGGTGAGAGAAAAATTAATACAATACCACTTGTTTATAATTTAAAATGTCACTTGTTTTAATCTTGAGATGCAACTCATTCAATATATGTGTGTTTGTAAATTGTAATCCAAATATTACTTTGTCTTGAATTTTTGAAGCATGAAGTTGAGCTAAGAGCACAGAAGGGAAGACAGTAACAGCTTGTAAATCTAGGCCAAAAAAAAAAAAAAATTAACAATATGGCGGGAAATAGCATAACATAAATTCATTTCTATAAAACAGTGCTTAGTGGAAGCCAAAAGAATAGTATGGTAAAGATTAAAAAAAAAAGTCCCTTTTCTCATAACACCTAATCAAATACAATAATTAGCTTTATTTTTTCAGTATATACTTATAGATATAGATAGATGATATTTCACATTCAAATTTCAACCGTATTTTTTAAAAAACTAAATTATTTTTATAATAAATATTGTTAATATTTTAATCAAGTACAAATATTATTAGTAATTCTTCCAATATTTGCCAATTATTTATAATAAATATTTTTAATATTTTAATCAAGTACACACCTGATCTATTCATTGAAAAATTATCTTATCACATTTAAACTGAAATATATAAAAGATGCAAGCGTGAGTTCTATTGTGAATATAGTGTTCTTTTAATAGCACCTATATAGCTTATGCAATAACGAGCAAGGTGAAAAAAAAAAAAAAAAAGGTGACAAAAACTTTTATTCCAGACAACATCACACCATTATTAGGAGGTTTCTCTTAAAATTGTCAGTCCAATATCAATGAAAGTGCAGAAAAAATCTCTTCAAAGCTTCGTAATTCTATAACAAAAATGAAAATACAATCAAACAGATCTAATTCTTCATCTTGGTCCCCAAATTTTATTTAGTTATTTAATTCTTTTGGCTTATTTAATATTTGATTCTAGACCTTTTGTTTTTTATTTTATTTTATTGATAAGCTGTATTGAATTTTTCATTAAATATTTCAATTCAATAACATTATTGAGAAAACAATTGAATAAAAAAATTTAGCATTATCAGAATACCTTGGATGGAAATATGATTAATATTGATTAGAGTAAAATACTTTACCCTTCTGTCTTTTTACCTAAATTACAGACACTTCTTTTCTATTTTTGAAACCTATATAAACCTCTCTTAATATAAATAAATACGAGCCTCTCCTAGTCATTACATTCCTAACCACTCACCCCCAAACATTATAAATCAAGATAGGTGAACAAGCCAAGATGTAAATACAAACTTGGGATTAATTAGCATCTACTGACAAGGAATCACATATCAGAAAAAATACTACTTAATTTTACAATTACAAGAGACTTGGAAGAGTATAGAAAGGGAAGTAAAGTTGTGGAAGGCACAAAATTCTACCGTTATATTGCTTCTCTTCATAAAAATAAACATTTTAACCATTGAAAAACAGAAACACAAGCAAACAAGCTAATCACTTGAGGAACCATCATCATCCTCGTGCTCAACAACAACTTTCTCTATGAACCTTTTACGAACACCATCAATGACAGCTTTTCTTGATTGTTCATTCCTGCTCTGGCCATCATTTAGCACAGGATCTGATTGGCATAGTACTAATGCAACACCTAATTTTTTTTTTTTTTTACCAGAATGTGCAAATGATTCACCAAAACATGTTGGGTAGATGGGGTAGAATGAGGGAGCAATGAGTAAGACTATCATGAAAAATAAGATGATAGGAGAACATGTCTCAGCTGAATTTTTTTCAATCAATGGAACAATATGAACACAAATAGTATGAGGAAATAACAATATATATGAATTCTAAATATAGACAGGTTCACAGACAAGGAACACAAGCAAATAATGAAGCGTGGAATCTTCAATCGATAATCAGTCTCCATGACTGGTGAACGTCATGCTTACATGTTAACATAAAATGACACTTGGATATAATATTGACACTTCGGGTTCTTGTGAAGCTGTACATTAGTGCCCATCTAAGATACCTTTTTTACAAGAGATGCAGTAAAAGAACACAATAAATATATCAATATAAATAATCTAACAATAACTATTGCCAGATGGTATTTGATTAAACAACATTCAACTATAATCATGTAAACAGACAATGATATCAGTTTAATTGCACAATATAATAAGCCATTTTGAGAAAACTTCACAATAGAAAGCAGCCCATAAATCCATATTAGAAATGAATTAGAAGAAGTAAAGCTCCTGCCTTTTTCAATAGGAAACTAATAAAAGAAATCAACTATGAAAGAAGGATATCTCAAGCCACCTAGGCTAGCTCAGATGGGTAAGAGTGGTGAGGATATGATAAAAATTCAAACTTTATTCCCTTCAAATATAACCCAAAAAAAAATCCATAACATAATTGGCATTCTTTAAGATTAATAGAATAAAATACAAAGGGGCACTGCCAATCAAAGCAAAAAAAAAAAAAAACAAATATCATAGGCATCCTGAAACAGATTAAATACCTTCAGGAGTGCATCTCCGCCCAAAAGTATGCATGCCCACATAATTTGCTTTAACTGCTCCATTGTTGTAAACCAACAAAGTGGGAAGATTGCGATCTGGGTAGTTTGGAATACAATCAGTAGATATTATCTTGACAAATTTTATTGCAGGATATCTTGCAGCCAATTTCTAAGCCATTGCATTAGAAGTCCACATTCAGAATTCTGCCATGAAATGAGTGTAAATTAATATCAGCACAAGAAACTTTATTCCAAACTTAAATACAGCTTTTGAATATTTTTTATCTGATTGTCCAATAATGCATTACAAGGAGAGATATTTTACAGCTTGACAATGCATAA